CTAACAGTACACAAAACGACTTGTTGTCTTGGACCGAGCTTGTATGCTGATTGGGCTCTCCTAGAGTTCAATTAGTGAATCAAAGATTCAGATTTGGATGGAAATCAAAGACGAACAGATATTTAGCCTGTTGAGATCTCCTCGCGGCGGCAAAATCCAACGCATGAGTCCCATCAAACGGGAATTCATTTTCATAAGCTTCAAGTTCCTGCATAAGTCTTGCGTAGTAACGACTTGTTTTCCACACCATAACGAATTCTTCAGGAGTTCGTGGTACTCGGAATTCAAAACCTGGTCTTCACTAATATTAGTGTCAAAATTCACAAGGGTAGGTTGATATTTTTACTGTATTATTCTTTCATCTGGACTTGTGAGAGATGTCAAGAAGTCCGCTGTGGATTGATGTGGAGAACAAATGAATCCCATATCGATAAAAAAAGATTTTGCTTCATGGCATGGACCGAAGTATATCTGTCGTCCCTCATATAGAACCTGTGGTGCTCATCAGTAACATTTCACGAGAAAGATGTGAAAGATGACATACTGTAACTTTATCAAATAGCTATACGCAGAGTTAGCAGCATTCTCTCGAGATCTGCAACCAAGTCTTACCTCATAGACTATTTCAGGTACTTGATATAAAGCAACGCATGCCGTCGTTCTTCCAAGGGTAGTAGAAAGTCGAATCATCTTACAAAACTCGAGTGCATGAGCATTGTCAAAGCCCCTGGTACAGTTATCCCAACACTGTAGAGTACATCCGCTCAAGGCTGCTTCTGCGATGCTCACTCTCTTTCTTTCAGCTTCACTGATACCTTTCACAGCATCATTTCCAACGAGTACATTTTCCACGTGACTAAGACCTAATGTTTTCATCATCACATCCCTCATATGCTCTGCGTATACTTTTCGAGTTACTCCAGGAAAAGTAAAATCGCACGGTGCTCGAGCTTTAGCCGCAAAAAGTAGCGTCTGACCAACCGTCAAGTCTGGAAAATGATTATCTGACTCGGCCAAATATATTGTTTCGCCTCGAAACCGTGTGTGCATCTTGCTCACAGAGACACCTTGGTAATTGATATCCGAGTCCGGCTCGACAAAGAGCTCATGAGTGTTCCCAGATATCGTTTTCAAGAACGAAGAAACTCCACTTCCTGGCCGACCAAGAACCAATAGCATCTCACCATGCTCAACCAAACCATCAAATCCTTTCAATATCTGAACTTTCTGCTTTCCAGATCCAACCAACCAGCGAGCAAAAGCGCCAAATTCAAACACAATATTTGCAACATTCTTCTGATAATCAGTTGGTTTCCTAAAAGCATAGACGGTCAGATTTTCAAAAGAAAACCCCGCACTTCTCCGAGGATATCGTCTCGGATCCTGGCTCATGAAGGCAACGAAATTGGCGATCCATTCTTCCGGATTGAAATTGCTGCTACGGGGATTCAACGGAGAATTGGGAAGAAGATCCAAGAAAGGATTTCTGAATTGATCTGATGTTTCTGGTGGCTTCAATGGGCTGAGAAGTGTAGACGGAAGCTCGAATCTTTGCTCCGCAAGTGAAGGGCGAGGTAGTGATGAATCTTGGAATGGATCAGTTGGTTGATGGGCACATTCTACTTTTTGATGCCTTTCGCGTGGATAAGCTGCATGAATTCGAGATGGTGGGGTAATTGGAGGCTCCTTTAATTTCCAGTATCCCGAATTTTCCATGATGGATTATTGTATAAAGGTCGAGAGATTCAGTTGAATGTATCCCAACAAACACGCAACAACAAGATCCAAACCTCCCGAACTCGAGGTCATGCGCAAAACAAGTCTCTATTCCACGAAGATAGAAGGAGCACTTACCCTGCCCTGACCCGATGGACGCACCTGATCAAATCTTGATCATCAACTGGACAAAAACACTTACTAGTTACCCCTCTCTTGATCGGTCCTTTTCAGAAAGCCAGTTGAACCTATCCCAACAACAACAACCCCAATTCCTCCTTCACCCTCTCAAAGTCCCTTACGAAACAAATCCTTAGCCCCGAGACAAGGAAGGCGCACTCCACTTCTCCCCCTCTCGCCCTTCCCTAAGCTAATGAACGCACCTACCTAACGACATTTATCTCGATCGGTCCTTTCTCTTCAGAAAGCTAGTCTGATAGTGATTGGGTAGGTAGTCCTTGGGAATGACTTCTATCAATGTTCCCTCATCAGAATCTCGCGCAAATCGGGGATTGCTTGTAATTGCCATGGGCAGGCTCTCCACACTTCCCTCACAAACACTTACCTGTCGAGTAGGTACTCACCTCAACAAGATATATGATCAGGTTACGAGAGAAGAACGCCTCATCCATTCACTGCCAAAGAATATACACCAGATCAGATGACAGTGGAAAAAAGTAAGAAATCTTAATAGCCATATATAAAACTAAACATTACCTCTGCTGCCCTCCCCGTTGGATATAATTCAAATACTTCGACCGCTATTCAAACGTAATCAGCACGCTCAAAACAGCATATCTTATTTGACAACTTGAATGCACGTTGACGCAGTGCTTAAATTTGCTTCTCTGTACCAAATTGCTAAAATTCTCATCCTCCCTTTCCCCTTAAATTACAATCTCCAAACATTCTCTCATTCCTGCCAATTCAACCAGTTTTCTCTAGTACTGTCCCAGGTGCAAAATCAGTTGCATTCGTTGTCGCCACAGGACTAGCGACTGCCTCTCCTCCTGTAATTGTTCCTCCAGTTTGAATTGATTCAGGTTGTTTTTCCGCGGGATAGCTCATTGTACTTTGTTTTGAATCAGTCGGAGAGGTTGGACTCAATGGACCCATTGGACTCGTCGCTTCTGCTGGACTTGATCCCACGACCGATTTGATGACTTCATACCACTTATTGGCATCCGCTGCCGAATGAGCCTTGAAGGCAATCTCGGAAGTACCAGACAGTTTACTTCCTATTCCCTTGGAAACATCTTTTCCTTTGATATTGAATTTTTCGCCGCTAGCACTTCCAATTATAGCATCTGGAAGGTAGATGGATAACTCCGGAACGGGGTCTTTGCGGACGTTGTCGTTGTCTTTGAATTCGTGGAGGAATTTGCTTGGAGTTACGACATAGTAGCCTGTAGTGTAACCGGCGAAACTCAACTTGTTTCTGCTCTTGCGTTCAAGGGAACCCTCGATAAGAGCCTGAGTGCTAGCGTGATTCTGGTTGGGGAAGCTGATTGCTTCTACTGAGCGGTCCGGGGCGTTAGGATCAATAAGTAGAGCTTGGTTACGGTGAACGAAGCCTTCCCATTCGAGATTTGCAGGAACGCCTTGGCAAGCGTTAAGCATATCTGCGAAGAGTGTTTGTTCTCTTTGAGATTGGCTCGTAACGATCTGAGTGAAACTCATCATAGTTTGTTGGATGATCTCAATTACATGAGCCTCAAATTGCGCAAAGTTGTTTTGGACTTGAATAAGATCATGACGATTGGTGTTTTCCTCCAAAACTTGCTTGTGAAGGCGATGTAGAATACCTCGGTGAACGACATATGGATCTTCGGCCGACTTCATGGAAGCAGCGCTGGATTGGTAGTTCGCAGTTTGTGATCCCAAAAGTTCAATATGTTTTTGTGTAATATTTCTAGCCTTATCGACCTCTTTTGCTCCCTTTGAGGCCCCAGAAAGTAACTCCTTAGATTTGTGTTTGATTTCCTTGTGTAGTCGATCGAGAATGGGGAGCACCGTGCCTTTCAGATTCTTCTCCGTTTCGAGGTGCGAGTTTATTAAACCCTTTTCAGTCAGCGTTTGCGCAATAGCAAAGGATCGCGTATATCATACCTGGGTGTTCGTTCGCATGTTTTCGAACATACCCGCCATGCCTCCCAGCTCCTGCTGAAAATGGTGCCCCTCTTTTAAGGGGTTTGCGATAGTCTTCAAAACCTTTTCATATTCCTTTGATTGTTGTTTTTGTACTTTCTCCGTCGCTCCAATGTATTCCTCAAGATACGCAACTGCATGTTTCCAAGCTCTCAATCTTTCTCCTAATAATTCTGAAGTCTGCGCGCGAAGGTTCAATCAGCCACAAGCGTTCTCCTATTTCCCCACAACCCCGATATTCGACCTTTGACAATCCGCAAAGTTCGCAAAAAATACTCACATCCTTAGGGTTCTCCAATGGTACCGCCTCACCCTCATCCGTACGATCTGTCAACGCACTACTGGTCGAGAATGATCTCACTGGCATATTCGCTGGTGTCGATCCAGGAGCTCCTGCTACTTGTGTCCCCGACATATTGGCGTGTAATGACTGTTTGCGCATCATCTTGTATTAGTTTACTTTCTCCAAAAAAAAAAAAAAAAAAGTAGCTTGTGCAAAGAATGAAGGGAGAATAGATGATTGAAGCAAGAAGAGCGACGTATGGATAATATGCGAGAATGTATTATTCACTATCGCTCGCTCGCTGTACTCAACTTACCTGGTCACTGAGTGGGGTGGTATTCGCGACCCTTGTTGTCGTTTTGTCTTTCGGTAATCTTGAATCCTGGTTGCGGATTTGGACTTAGTGGAGTGTGCGGAGGCAAGGTATATTAAATCTTATGTCTCAATTTAAAGAGATAAGATTTTCAAAGAATTCTAGAATAAACCCGATTTCGAGGTTGAAGGAAGTTGGCGATGACAATGAGGTTATTGATAAATAATAGATTGATGATGCTGATGTACTCGTGCATTGTATTTATTTATGCTTCCCGCCTTGAACCTCTTAACTTCCCACTAAAACACCCCCATTCCTTAGTTTTATCCACATACGTCATTATCCACCCTTTCAGCATCTCATATTTGAAGATTGTTTGAAAATTAGTCTGATTCATGCACTATCACAAAAATCACTCAAAGCACTCTTTGGTGAAACAAAGAAGTATAAAAATTATGACGATCATTCATCTCAAGTAGATCAGATTGCAAGACCCTGATTTTCCATTTTATGGACTCGGAGTTATGACGAACAGGGGCGTTTCAGATATTCCATGGAATTCATGTTCACAGCCAAGATTTAAAATGCAAATCCAGATTGTATACTGGGGTATCCGAGTCTTGATAGTGTTGTGGTAAATACATGTTGAAAGGTAGAATGTAGATCTTCAACGAACAACTATACTATGTTTTCCACCATTAGTCTCCAACGCCACACCCCCATTTACAACCTTCAAGTCCCTTGACCCCTTAATTTCTTTTCCATTAAGAACAATACTTGGCACCACCCCCGCCTTTCTTACCGGTAAGATCAATGACCCTGTAGTGCCTTCCGGCACTGCAAAATCCAACGTGTATCCCGTCTTCGTAAGATTCCAAGCCGCTTGGAATTTTCCCAATGCAGTGACAAATCCACCTTCTGCACTCGTCAAGTCTCCGAATTGTGGAGTTAATTTCCACGTTTTGCCCACGGGGCTAGTAACACTAAGACCTAATACAAATTCTGTGAGGGCAGATGTGGGACCTGAAGACCAGCCATGTGCGTGAGATACGTACGAGGTATCATACATGTAACCTCTGCTTGATCGATATGCAAAGGTACCATTTTGGAGATAGCCTTCGATGACTGTGCTTTCGGTTCCATTAGGGTTGTTGAGATACCAACCCCAACATCGACGGATGAGATCGAGCGCACGACTCGTCTCTCCAATTGTAAAGTGGGCTTGAATCTCGAAACTCGATATGAAAGGGGATATGTTTTCTGGAAGTTCGGGTGCGACGGCTCCAATTGGGGTCCAATTCTTGAGAAGATTGGTGGAAATAGTTTGAGCTGTAGGAGAAGTTGGGGAAACAACTCCGAACAAAAGCGCCATGCTATTTGCGTCTTGAGGATGTAATGTAGTTGCTGTTGCATTGTCTTTGAAGGATCCATAAGATGAATCAAAGCAGTACTTATTGACGGCTGTTTTGAGAGAAGCAGCACGACTAGTCCATGTCGCCGTCAAATTGGTGGTATCACCAGCCCATTTGGCCAAATCAGCACCAGTAAGAAGAGTTCGATAGAGACTGTGTATTTGTTAGCCAACCACCTTAGTCACATTGACATCAAAACATACATCATTTGTGCTTCACTGTTATTAAAACCTTGTTGCCAACGGGCCCAATCACGAATTCCTGTGACTTCAAGCAGGCCAGGAGCGCTGACTTTTCCATAAACATAATTCATCGCTAATTGATACTTCGCCCAGTTTTGCAAGAGGAATGAAGTATCATTGGTGTAAAGAACATAGTTGTAAGTTCCAATCATAGTCCACATATGATATGTATCAGAGCCCAGTTGTAGTAAGGGTGGCCCCGCCTCTGGGAATGCGCCCGTCACATTGTTCTAAATTGAGTCAGTCGGGATCTTCGGTCAATGAAGCAGTTTCAAGGCGCAAAATTGGTATTTGAAAGAAAGAATTTGGATACTGGGCAGGAAAAAAAGATCAACTAAATGATAACATACCTGGTAGTTGTACATAACTTGAAGTGCATTTCTGACACTGACGAGGTCACCAATACTGATAAAGGTCGATGGAACAGCAATACCCATGTCACCAGGCCAAACAGCTCGATCTCGCTTTGCTCCATCCACAATGATGGTATCACCCGGTCCCATAGTACCATTGTTTGCCCATCCCACTTTAACAGTAGGGATTTGACGCCCAGTATTCACAGGAACTGCATTTGTTTGCAACGTGTATGCACCAGAGTACCAAATCTTGTTTAGCATTTCATCGCTGCTGTGAAAGTATCCTTGGTATGCTTGTAAATTGGACCATGTTGGCTGAAATCCAATCTCAAGAACGATGCTGCTAATATTGACATTTGTGGTACCGTTTGTAAGTAAGAACAAGGTCAAGTATCTGAAACCTCCACGAAGCGAAAGATCCGGCATGGTATATGTTCCGGTACCAGCTGATGTGAAGTTTGCATAAATAGCGCCATCCGGTCCTTTGAACCCTCCATTGGACGAGTCCGACCATTCCCCGATGTAATCTTTGGCCTCTGTAAATGCCAGCCCGATTGCACCAGGCCCCGAGGAAGTGTATTTGAGGGTCACAAGTCCGCCCACCTCTTTACCAAAGTCAAGAGTATATTTCGAGCCATTTCCAGAAAGTCCAATTAATCCCGTGAAGTTAGACAGAACAGCTCCGGTTGTTGTGGATAAGACGGATTTCGGAGATACCTGGCGACTCGAAGGCGCATAGATATTTGCATCCCAAGGGCCCGGAAAGGCAGGTTCCAGCGGTCCACTGCAAGTTGTGTTTTTCCAGCATGCTTGAGCAGAAACCAAATCTAAAGACAGGGAAATTGCTACAAGAGCAATTAACCGTGTGATTGTAGCCATGATTTGAGAGCAGCACTCTGTATGGGCGCACAATGCTTCGTTGTCGATCGAATTTCGGCGGAAACCCACGCCATTTGTACACTTTCAGGAACGAACTCAAAGTCGCATCAGTAATTGATTCTCCAAAACTCGGTCAATGGATATACCGAGGGAGAGTTTTTCCGAAGCGGTTGAATTGTCGAGAATTGTAGGCTTCTGCAGATCAAGATGCGGGGAAAATAGAGTACTGTGGGGTAAACACAAACCAGTTGTTGAACCCCATTTTGTTCTTACTCTTCACCTACTGTTGGATATGCACTGCACTCACTTGGTGGACTGGGGATATGGAGTTGGCGAACGACTGCATATGTGCCAGCAAAGGATCATATATTGACCCGAATAGGCGACCTGACGCTGTCACTGACAGGCTACCCTAGGGGAGGCAGGAAGCAGGGGAGTCATGTTTCCATGTCGGAAGATGACAATGTCCATTCAAATTCCGGAGAAGGAAACTCAAAATGATTGATTGACGTTGAGTGGCAGGAAATTTCATTTGATTGATTGACTGTGTGTATGTAAGTACCTAGCTCGAGCCTAGGTAGGCTTGTGTAAATGTATAAATCAAAAATGTCTCACAATCTATCAATCGTATTTCTCGTGATGAACTCCACCCTTTTCACGAGGTACCCTCATGTGTGAGTACGTGTAGTGTCGTGAAATGAGGTGGTGAGGTGAGGTTTCAAACATCCAAAAATCAAGTCAATGCGAACTCTCAACATTGTGGCTGTGAGGAACGGAAGTAGAGCTAATCGTACAGCAAATGTTTTCATTGGGTGACGGTACTCTGGCACCGTTTTATCTATGTATTTCTGTACCGGCATAATGACAGAAATTCGAAAAAGGGTGATGGATGGCGTTGTGGTGATGGGGATTGAAGTTTTCTTTCATTTTGTTTCCATTTGCTTTTTTCTTATCTTGTGGCAGGAAACGGAGAACGGCGGGTGCGAATACGAGACGATACGATACGACACAGAGAAGAAATGGAAGAAGAAGAGAGATTCTAGATCGATAAGCCGTTGCCCACCCACCCACACACACACTTACAAATGCCCCTGAACCAGCGAGCCAGCCCATGTTCTATAATTAACCTTAGTCATAATTTCAAAGTCTTCCAAAGACTTCTTTTTTCCCTCCTTACTACCTATGTACCCCGCAGAAGGAACACTTACCATATATGCCTGCTAGGTAGTATATGTCAAATTCTACAACATGTCTTGCGAAAAGCCTTGGAGATGTTGGTGATTCGCGACAAACAGAGTAATTTTGGACTATGACAGTGAGTAAGTTTGAGTGACACTATTCGGAGGCTCAGTTCATCATTTGAAATGACAATATCTTACTAAAGTTCATATCATCGGGAAGAACAAGTTTCCGGTGCGTGCTCTCTCTTACCCCCTACCTCTTTTTCTTGGATTATCATGTGTTTGCGCCGCATGCCTAGGGAGCTGCTAATCACGGAAAGGATGGTTAAGAATCTCTCAATTGAAGGATGACTCTAGGCGCTGTAGCAACCAAGTGACATAAGAACCCTGAACACCTGGTAAACCGCATCCAAAGCTCATCAGAGATAGGAATGCAGTCAGATGCCAAATTCAGCCTGGATAAGGAGGAGGTGAGTGGGTGATACGAAAGAAGTCTTGGGAGATATCAAAGATTTTCAACGGCACAGCTGATAGATTAGATGTTGATATACGAGTCGATCTTGAGGTTCAATATGAAGCTTGAAGAGTTTTTAACAATACGAGTAAGTAGTACCATGTACCATAGCTTTAAAGTTTTATTATGTCACTATGCAGTATGTACATGATGTATGCCCTATCCTGTACGAGTACAGTTGTGATGTCTAATTCTACAAGATTAATCAGTATGTTATGTGCATAGAAGACAATGCAGTTTGTCTGGTGATTTCTGGTGATTCCAATAACATGCATCAATATCAGGAACCGACCAATCCAGTTGTATCTACTAGGTACCTAGGTAGTACCCAGATGTTCAGACAGTCAGTCATATATGGACTCGCACATTCGATCATTTGTCCCCTATTCGGATGCCCCTATGTGGTATTTTCGTCAAAGAGTGAATGTTACATGTATATATGATTGTTGGACTCATATAAGTTAGTTATCAGATTAATCTGTTGATTACCTAGGTAAGAGATCTGTGTACCGACGTAGTACCCTGTACCTAGAAGTTCTATTCTCTTTTATTTCTTGATTTCCTCTTATTGTAACAATTAATGGATAAATCCGATTCAAGACGATTGATTAGATTCTTCGCTAACAAAGTCTACTTACTATGTATATACTGGTAAATCCATGAGTAAAGCCCAAGCAATCACTCACCACTCCATCGCTCCATCACTCACGGGTCACTGATCACTGGTCACTGGTCACCGGTGGACCCCCCAAAAAAAACTCTCCCCCCAATCTATCCACTCATATGCCACTTACCCAGTACTCACTACATCAATCCCCCATTTGGTACCAATTGCACAACTCGAATTAATTGAGATCCTTCCTATTTACCATAATCAGTATCCCTAAACAACACTTATTACATTTACATTACACTTACACTTACTCTCACTCTCACTCTCACACTTATTACACTTACTCTCGATCATTACTGCATACAACAACATTATGCCATCGCAACTCTCTTCTTCTCCACTTTCACCCATTTGACATACGACATACTTTTATTTATGTGCCCATCGATGTATATTTATTAAGCTCTTTAATCCTCTCCAGTCTTGCCACACTAAATCCATAATCCATACAACTCCAGATGAGATCGCCGGTATCGTCAGTGATTCTATTAGGTGCTAGTTCTTCTATCTCAGCAAGGGAATTCTTAGAAGACCCGCATCACAACTCCCGATGAAGGTATGCACACCTCTATGGAATACTTGCTACATTGTGCGACGCGACGTACATCGTGGGAAAGAAGCAGAATCAGAATAGTATTTGCGAGTTGCTACCCTACCCAACCACTGCTCATGCTTGTCTGCTTGTCTGTTGGATATTCAAGTCGGATTTCTCTCTCTCAATTACTCTTAATTCACTCTTGCTACCCCCTCTTTCCTTGCTAGACCTTGGTCCTTTGGTACAATACTTCCTGCAAAGACGTCTTTTATTGAAGAACTGTTGCAATAAACTTTACTAACCTGTTTTCTCTTCAATAGACCTCTTCGAGACCTCGAGAACAACTTGGGGGGAGTTTTGCACCTAGACGGGATCCACGAATTTCTATCAACGATCCAAACCATCATGTAACGGAGGCCATTGGGGATATGTATGGGGATGATGACTATTCAAAACAAGATTCACGACCTCTTAGCTTTATGCCCTCCTCTTCCAGTGAGTCTATCGAAGAAATAACGAATTCATTTTACGACACAAACAGCAGTGTTAGACCCAGACCAGTACCCTTAGTGAATGGAAACCACAAAGCGCATACATCACCAGCAATCATGCAAAGTCCCAGAAGTCCAACATTTGGAGATGGAGGTCCAATATCGCCATCTTTGTCCTTACGTGATCCTAATGCAGGAGGTACCGCAAATGCGGAGTTCCCGCTGAACGATATCGACTATGAATCCGGGCCAGCTGCTGTCGCACAAGAGCTAAGTAATTTACAAGCGTTACGGCGAATGTCTATGGATGTGGGCAATACCAGTGATCCGGATCTGCCATCGTTCCAAGGTGTCTCTTCAATGCCTACAGCAGCTCCAACAGGGAACGACAACGAGGACGATCCATCGCGACTTTTTTGGGTACCTGCCAGAGTCCACCCCGAGCTTGCACCCATGGAATTCAAAACCTTTTTGGAGAACCGCGTTCAATCAATAAAACGACGATCTGGAGATCAAAACTCACTAACGGCTAATGGAGTTGATCAGAGTGGGTCTGGAGCAGGATTGAGGAGGAAGAAATCTATGTTGTCAAGGCAGATCGATAATTCGGGTGGTAAGGGAGCTATAGGGTACCAAGATGGAGCGGAGCATTTAGAGAGGAAAAAGTCTTTATCATCACATCACACGCCCGATCTCAGAATCTCGGATCTTCAGGAATTGGATGAGTTGGTAAAGGATCCTTCAAAAGCGATGCAGAAATTGAATCTCGACACAGGGAGAGGTGAAGGTGCTCAAGGCGAAGATTTACCTATTTTGCCCCAAGCACCCGGGATCGGTCTAAGGAGGTCCACACACACGACATATAGAAGGGGAAGCTTAAGAAAGGGAGAGCGGGTCCCATTCTCAAAGAGGGCTGGCTCTATTCGAGCTGATACGGATGGAGGAGATTCACCAACGGCTTCGCCGATTGATGGGCGTCCATCTGCAGGCTACCCTCTTACACACACCCAATCGGAGCCCTCAAGTAACACGGATAATTTTTCAAGACCCAACAGGAGTGCACGGCGTATGCAGAACATTGAACAGGTCCCACCAGTTCCCCCAATCCCTGGAAATATTGCCAACGAAGTACCTACCCGATCTGATTCTCCAGCTCCAGCATTAACTGCGGAAATATTACCAGACGCCAGCCAACAACCTTCCCCCCCTGCTCATGATGCAACTCGATCAAGAAGTACTAGCCATCCTCGAACGGATTCGCCAGTCCCACGTATAGTAGAGACACCACCTCCGGTAGAAGAAAGTTCAGAACCTCAAATTAGCAAGCAGTCTCTCCAGTACCCCGAAAGAACATCTTCACAGACTACGCCACTTTCACCGAAGCAACACTCCTCACCAGTAATTCCTCAAGCAGCTCCCCAAGTAGCTCCTCAAGCAGCCCCTCAAGCAGCTCCTCAACTAATTCCGCAACCTCCAGCGAGATCGAGCAAACGTCCGGTATTGGAGCGTGAAGCTTCTTCCGGCGGTGCCAATCTCCCAAAGACATCAACAGCAAACGACATGCCTCAGCATCAGCAATCTTCTTCACTTCCGGTGAACTCTTTGAGAACGGATACGCTCACTCACATTCCAACCATTGATGATAAGAAGACCGACAAGAAACTTAGAAAGGAAAGAGAAGAGGAAAACTCTGGACCTCGGAAGACTAGTTGGGGTTGGTTCAAAGGGAGTGATGAGAAAGACAAGAAGGATAAGAAGAAAGATGATAAGAATAGAGGCAAAGTTTCATCTGAGAAAGTGCATGATAATGCTCGATTGGATGTTTTACAATCCACCATGGAGACAACTACGAGAGGCCGGGAAAGTTTCTTAGTCGAGAGAGAAAATGTTGATAATAAACTCGAAAATGAACGCAAGAAAGAAAGTAGTCGTAAAGCTGGTGGTGAGCCTAAAAAGGAAAAGGACGGCATCTTCTCGTCCCTTTTTGGTGGTGGGAAGAAGAAAGCCGATCGAGATTCAGGGAGCAAAAAGGGAAGCTCCCTTCGCACACTTTCGCCAGAACCACCGCAACGTATCTTGAAGCCAGATATTGATTACAACTGGACAAGATTTTCAATAATGGAAGAAAGGGCAATTTATCGCATGGCTCACATCAAATTAGCTAACCCCAAACGGGCATTGTACAGTCAGGTTCTTCTTAGCAACTTCATGTACTCGTACTTGGCCAAGGTTCAACAAATGCATCCACATATGCAAGTACCTCAATCTGTGCAACAGAAGAAGGCAGAGGCGGAGAGAAAGCAGAAGGAGCAAGAACAAAAATACCTAGAGCAACAAGAACAGTTGAGACAACAACAACAACAACAGCAGCAGCAGCAGCAACAGCAACCAGAAGGTGACCAATATCGATACGATTACCACCAGGTATGATTTGATCAATTTCAGGAATCAAAGTATCTTGAGCTAACACTTTACAGGGTATCACTCAATATGCTGAACAATCCCAAAATCCCAATCATTCTGGTGAGGCTGTCAACTATGTTGATGACTCTCAAATATATGACTACGATCATCAAGGAGGCGAGTCCGAGCAGGATCATAATCGCCCACAATCTCGCACCGGCCAAAACAATAGTGAGAATGGCTATAATGATCAAAATCAGAAGTACTACGATTATGGGCGAACACAATCACATGATCAAGCAGCTGATGACGGTGAGATGTGGTAGCACCAGTAACCTCTCTTGTTGTAGCAAAAATTATCTCAGGGGTCTCGTTTTATGCATATAACGATGGAGTATAGGCGCTGTTTCATATCTGGATGGACGATTGTGATATTGGGAAGGAAACTAATTGATTGGAAGCATAGCGTCTGGTTGTCTGTTGCGGTTCCCTTGACATGGGATTCTTCAACCCCTTTTTTTATGTCACAATCTGCTACGCTTACAGAGAGTAAGTATGCAATTGTTTATATGTACAACAAGAAATTAGCTCTTGCCTTTATGAAAGCAAGTAGATTAGGTCCGGCTTCATAATCCAGAACTTGGATGCTGATCCAAAACTTTGAATACTCTATTCTTTTTAAATGTATATTTACGTTGAGCAATTGTATATACATACTGTGATCAAACAATGAGTTGTCGTACGTTGAGTATTGAATTTAATATGTCCGGCTCAATGTTATAACATCAAACTTTCGCTTGACTGAAATATCACATTGTTTCCTCGAATCATACAATACCTAATTACAGGTAAATTCACAATTCTATTTTTAGTATCGAATTCTTCCATACATCCATCGTATTCTGGTTTGATGCCTTATGCCTTGTGCGGCGTCGGAAAGCTTCCAGTGACGTTGATATGCTCGTGATACGCTACCGCAGCACTTGTCTATTTAGCGGGGCTCGGTCTTCTAGGAGCAAACCATCTACAACTCTTACTTATTACCTACACCTTCATAACCACAAAATTCCCACGACATTTATTTCCTGAAAGATCTAAGTAATATAGGAATTTGTATACGATGTTTCGCGCGCAACAAAATGCCTTTGATGAGGTCGTCGGTAAGTCACAGCCTATGATTTTATTCGAATCCCCAGTTATCTCGAATGAAGCCTTGAGCATGGTGCTAATTCATGGATGCTATAGCTAAGGCGACCGACGAGAACCTTACCTCAGAAAATTGGGAATACATTATGGATGTTTGCGACAAAGTAACCGGTGAAGATAGTGGCGCTAAGGATGCCGTTGCAAGCATGATAAAGAGGTTGGCGCATCGAAATGCTAACGTGCAATTATATACTTTAGAGGTAGGTCATCGCGTGAGCTGGAATCGCTTCCAACAAACCTGACATTCATTATATAGCTTGCCAATGCTTTAAGTCAAAATTGCGGAGCGAAAATGCACAGAGAGTTGGCTTCGAGAGCATTCACGGATGCACTATTGAGACTGGCGAACGATAGAAACACACATCAACAAGTCAAGGCAAAGATTTTGGAACGGATGGCTGAATGGGCAGGAATGTTTAAAGACCCTGATTTGGGGATTATGAATGATCAATACCACCGCTTGAAGAGCCAAAATCCCAACTTACATCCGCCTTCCGCCCCATCAAAGAATCGACTCACAGATTTGGATCGTCAGAAGGAAGAAGAAGAATTACAGATGGCATTAAAATTATCCATTCAAGACAAAAGCAGTCAGCCAAAACCTGCACAACCATCAAATTCATCCGCAGGTCCGGCACAATCGCAACAAGCTGCACAGCCACAACAAGTACCATCTGGGACTACCGCGGCTACTGTCTCAAGAGTGAGAGCACTTCACAATTTCCAACCTACAGATGCAGATGAGTTACAGTTTCGAAAGGGGGATATTATCACAGTTGTAGGATCAGTGTATAAGGATTGGTGGAGGGGCTCTCTACGAGGGAAGACTGGTATTTTCCCATTAAATTATGTCGAGAAATTGGTCGATCCCACACCAGAAGAATTACAACGAGAAGCTCAAATGGAGGCCGAGGTTTTTGCGGAAATCAAGAATGTCGAGAAGTTACTTACATTATTGAGTACTTCATCATCTCAATTAGATGCCCGTGATAATGAGGAAATTACGGTAGGTTTTTTGTATCCTCATTTTCCAGCCACTTTCTGACATATTTAGAAACTTTACCATTCTACTCTTGCAATTAGGCCAAAGCTTATTGAGCTTATTGGAAAGTACTCTCAAAGAAAAGGTAGGCAACATTCGTCCAATAATACGGCTGTTGATCAGCTCACTAACATACATTAGACGATTTCACACAACTCAATGAGAGATTCATTAAATCATGTCGTGATTATGAAAGTTTACTTGATGCCTCCATGACCCAGGCACAACCTTATCAGTATGGTCGTCCTGGGCAAGTACCTCAAGGTCCACAAGGTTATGGGTACCCTCCTCAAGCCGCAAGACCACAACAAGAGCCACAGCGATATTATACACCATCTCAGTCAGGTGAGTGAACTCGACTTTTAATAAACATTAACATACTGAGTCTATGCAGAACCTCCATATCAGCCGCAACCATCTCCATCTAACGGTTATCCTCCTCAGCGTAATGGACCGGCCCCCTTTTACGTTGTAGCTCCAGGTCAACAACCTCCACAATCAGAGAGTCATCAACCATATCCCGGTCAACAGCCTTCACAACCAGAGAGTCATCAACCATATCCCAACCAACAGCCTCCACAATCAGAGAGCTATCTACCATATCCCGGCCAGCAACCTCCACAATCAGAGAGTCAACAGCCATACCCCCAAAGAGACCCTACTCCTCGTATTCCATCAGGCTCACAACCACCCCCTCTTGAAACTAACAGTCCTCCCCCAACTCAATACCCAACCCAACAACCACAGACTGGTCATCGCCCCCAAAGTACATACTCTAACCCACAAGAACTTGCAACTTCTGTCTATGATTCTCCGGTTCAACAACAAAATCCTCATCCATATACTGCATACGCTGAGACAGACCCATATTCAGCCACACCTGCCCCATCTCAACCGCCTCAACAATACAATGCTTACAAACCTCCTCAACAACCATCGCAACCTCCTCAGCCATCTTACGAACCACCAGCGCCCCCGGGTTCGTTGCCAAGTCCAGTTCAAGGGAGCCCATATCCAGTATTAGGGGATGCGAGGTCAACATTGCCCAGCCAGGGGCAATATAAGGCATATCAGAGACCAGATAGCAGTGATAGTAATCAGGGACCAAGTCAGGGGTTAGGTAATGCACCTAGTGCGCCACCTGGAGGCGCATCCAATCCGGCGGATTTTTATAGGCAAAGTGCTGCTTATTAAATTGGTTGTTAGAGCGTATGTTGGAAAGGAGACGAGGGACTAGTGCGAGGATGAATGAGGTTCTTTCAAGAATTTAACGTGGACGGATTTTAGCGAAGATGAAAGGGGGGCTATTTGTGAAGTGCGAGGAATGAAGGAAGGAAGTTAAGTTAAATTAAATTATGGAGAAGTGCGGAGAGGGGCAGGGGAATTTGCGTTCGGACGGACGGATGCACGGATTGATGAATTGATGTATAGTCAATTTTATAAGCATTGATTTCTGTGAAAGGAATGGTATGGGAGGGGAGGAAAGGGAAGGAAAGGGAAGGGAAGGAAAGGAGGGAATTAGAATGGAAGCAAATATGATATAAAATAAAATTGAGGTTTCCGTAGTCGGCAGTTGTTGGTAGTTGAGAGTTGATAATTACTAATTGAATATTCAGACTAAGGTCTATTGTCTTATTTACTTCCTTGTATCTGTATTTCTGTTTATATCTATGTTATATCTGGTTCTTTTGATATAGTTGATATAGATGTTTTTAGGGAGGGGTTTAAAAGTTGTTAAAGGAGAGAATAGGGGAGGGAAACGGGAGGGATAGAGAAGGAGAGGGGAGAGAGAAAAGGGCGTATTTGAATAATAATTGCAAAATGAATAGATAGATATAATAGAATGGGATGGGATGAAATGGGATGAAATGGGATGAAATATTATAGAATAAGAAAGGAGAATGATAAATGAATGAATGAATGAATGGATGGATGAATGAATGGATGGATGAATCTACTGAATTGGATCGAACTGTATAATCCCTAAACACATTAAAAAAAGTTCTAGTAGTTCAAATCAAGTATAGTATACGATTTACTACAAGCTACATATACTAGAGTTGACTATATCGACCGCTTTAAATATCTAATTCGCCTAATAGTCTTAGCGTGCTTTCTTGTATAAATAATATTCAGTCGCTAAGAGCGGTCTATAAGTAAACTCATTAACTAATCATAGTCAAAAGTAATATATAGAATATAAAACTGGTTGATAGTAGTATTCAATCAATAAGTACCCGCACACCTTTGCTATCGCTGTGAGTTAAAGGAATAATCATATCATGATCATATTCAATATCTTGCTGTTCTGTCTCGAATAGGTGCATTCTCGGAAATACTCGGAGAATTAATGCTGTAACCAATAAGTAAAGTTCACAGGTAGCGAGACTAGACGTTATGTTAGTATATAAGTATTAATCAACAATTGAACTTGCATACTTCCTCCCAATGCATGCTCTGCTGCCTTTAGAGAACGACAGAATATGACTCTCAAGGTCCTTCTTGCGCTCCAGATTCTTGCTCATCCATCGTTGCGGAAGAAAGGAATGCGATTCCGGCCAGTTCCTCTCGTCGTGGTGGCTAATTGCAGATGACATTCCGATAGCGTAGCCTCTAGGAATCAAAACATCAAAGTAAACAGGGTTTCTGGTCCCGTGTGACGGAGTCCACGAGCCCTGGTAACGGTGGTCTTCCTCCGCCAACACTCGTGATGTTCGTGCGGATATTCCATACGACAATCGTAGGCCCTCTTGTATTACGGCGCTCAGAAATGGCAGTTTCTGTAGCGCCGTCCAGCGAGGTAGATCCTCCGCGATATTTATCGTAGTTTTCAGCTCCTGCGTCAACTGTTCCAAGATGTCTGGTTTTGATAGCAAATGGTACGTAATAACGGAGACTGTCCAACTGACCGTCTCCGTCCCACCGCCTAGAAATGCAGCCGCCTCGTCTGTAAGACGTACCAATGACTTTTCATAGTCCGGGAGTTTAGAATCCAGTAGTGAACCAAATAAATTCGCTCTCCCTAGCAAGTTTCCTGTATTTCGGCTCGTCTGGATGTTTTTGATTTTGTTAAGAATATCAATCCGTAATTGTTTGATCAACAGTTCCATATCTGAGGAGACGTAGCTTGATAGCCTTGAAGCAGCGAGAGCGATGTGTTTTAGTGCCGGGAAAAAGCGGAATATGTGGACTGTATGTAAAAGTGCGAACAAGCTCGGCCTGAAATTCGGCTGCTAACCTTCTTGCGCGACAAATCCAAAGGGCTCTCCAAAGCGGTAGTCAGCAACCACATCGGATGTGAAGCAAGAGTATGCTGCGGTAATATCGAGGGGATTGGGGCATTCGCTTTCCTTCAGGAGTTTATCGCAAAGACGCTGAACTAAGCTTTGAATTAGCGACTCGACTTTGGCAAACTGTGCTTGCGAAAAAAACTTGGCTAATGGTCGTCGGCGCAGACGATGTAGGTCGTGATCGATAGTTGCAAATATTGAATGTTCCATCATAGAGCCACTAACTTGATGTTGAGGCTTGTTGCGCTTGCGAGCACCCACACCGTAGATCTCGGCAGCAAAAAAACTGTCTGCACAATGTACTTCATTAGGATTGATGCGTACGACAAGGACCTATATAAATTCGTTGTTAGCTTTTGTGTTCCCCATCGACGACGTTGTTGAACACCCACCATATATATCATGCATTTTCCTGATTTGCCCCGTGTATCGGCCAAACCTAATTGTGTCACAGTAAAATTCTGGTAGATACGATGCCGCTGCGAGCTTCGGACCTGGAATACGGCTCAGCGGGTGCAGAGGCGAAATATTCCACATGGCCAGAATGACATGATATCCAGTTATCACACTGATAAGGAACAATGCGATTTTAAAAGTCAAGGATTCCGATGTATTGTATGGTAGATAGTCTGAAACGGTCATTGTGTTGTTATTCGATTGCATATATCATAGAAATTACACAATTAGGATGGATAGATAGTTTACCATTGTTTATGTTGCTGGTATATTTGTATGAGAACCTCATTTAACATGTAAAGGGTGGTTTAGTCATTAGTAGTTCATTGTATTGAACTGTAACGAGTTGTTGGAAGCTAGTAGAAATCACTCGTATATGCAAAGAATGAAAATTATGCTCGTAAGGTGGCCACGAGTTCATCCGGTCAACATGACCATGTATATCGCAACTGTCTGCATATGCAACTTAAATTGTCAATTTCCATCTCTGTACGATACTATCTAACGATATACTCGGGAATATAAATTCGAGTTAACATAAACATGTCTACTTATCAGGGTAGCGAGATATTTTTTGGACCGCCCTTCATTCGGTTGCATATCAGACAACGAGTCAGTATCCCCTACTCCGAAAGTGGTCCGTGCGATATACCTTGAACGATAAAGTTTTATTGGATAGAATGCCTATTTTAATGATTTCTCAGTTACATTATTTATAAGATAAAATCTTGACTTCAAATTTTGATTTTTTGTAATTTGAAAAAGAACAAGGATTGAAAGAGTAGTATGTATTATTATATTCTAGATTTTGATATAGAAATAATATTGATTGAATTTTATATCAAGAAATAAATGTGAATGTTGTTTTATATTCAATGAATCCTGATGATCTGATTGGTCAATAAGTCTTTGTTAAGCGACGGAGTCCATTTTCAGCGGTCTAGGGGATAATACTACTTCAGACAAATTCTGCATTGATTTCAGTAAGACATACAACCTGTCCGGGCATTTTCTATGCATAGCAATTAAGTGCGGCTTGTTGTACACGACTAGCTCGTTTCTTTTCGAACTGCCACATTCGGCTATATTGTACATACCTAGATGCAAGTATACATTACTTGTGGTGATATTGCTTATCAATACTTTTCTACTACTCTGAGATGCAGCCGGAAACGTCAGGGGCTCGAAGAACCCTGTGTTTGACCCATTGATAAGCTGCAAAAGCACTACAGATGTGATCGATAGTGAAGACACCAGGCTAAATGGTATGAAATCTAAGTTTATTATAAATATATTAGCAATTTCTATATAACCTATAGCCGAGCTGCGACAACACCAGCGATGTTGAAAGTTGACAAAAGAAGTAACTCAACATACCCCTTCGAACTGGGAAATGAATGCTTAGCAAATTCATCTGACAAACTTCCGCTGATAAAAAATAGCCGAACACGTTCTCTCATTATTTATATCGACTTGACTATGCTGCAAATGAACACGATCATATGCTTGTGTAATGCACTACCAGATATACAACAACTATACTGTTGTTGCCTACCCCTAGAGCACATGTCTATTAACTAAATTTGAGGTCATTTGCATTTGATACACGTTTGTCATTGTCAATTACAATAAAAATCTGTCCAATAACGTCCATTGACAGCTCCTCCCTCCACAAAAATATAAAATGACAAATTGGGATTTCATAGTCTAGCTGATACTTGCTGATACTTCCACGATAAGCCAGCAAGTACCACTTGTATTATTAGATCCAGCTTAAGCTTAATCACGATGTATACAGGAAAAGCCACTGTGAGCTTATGTCTCCCGAAGCACTTTGACCTCAATGGTCTAAGACTCAGTATCCATCGATATATCAATCTGTGTGAAAGTTCAGCGTATGCAAAATGACAAACTAGAAAGGTTTGAATTACCTGTAGAAACGGTGCAAGCTTGTAACGACCCGTAACCAAATGCCATTGGAAATATCCAACCAGGAAATAATCGACTGACTTTAATAGTTCAGTATCATGCGAACATATCTCTCTACATCGTTCCATGCATCCAATAGTTTCGTCTAAAAGGTGCTGTAAGCCCTTATGGCTATTTTCGGATCGAATGTGAGAGTTTATCTCTTCGTATATCACCTCGTCCCCTACCACCCTCTCTTTATACCAACTACAGAGGTCGTTGACAAATGACATGTATCGCTCCAATTCGCAGTCGACTTGCTTCTTTAAGACCAAGTCTGAGTGATCACGGAGAACCATAGCTGTATGAGGTGCTGCACTGGTAGCAAGTTGCTTCCAGTACCATGGGAAGTGAACCGAGGACTTAGAGAGTGTGTGAACACGACCGTGAAGCAAATGCTCAATTCGTGTCATTAGGATGAAGTCGATAAGTCCTTTCAGGAAGTACCAGTACTCTTCGTCAGAGAAATGTTTTTTCATCTTATCGAGATGAGAACGGAAGCTGGCCATGAACGATGTCGGGGCAGTCTCCATTGTAACTAGAGATGTGTAGTCTGAAACCTGAGGTTCCTCGTCATCTACAAGGAATGTGTATATGAAATAGATAGTGTACATAATCTCAAGATCTCTCGGAAGACGAGGAGAAAACCACATTCGCGGTGCTGCACATGAAAAGAAAACGATGGCTTCGAATCTTTTTCGGCGTTGATTGATCCATGGCTGTTCGTAGAAATGCTGCCTAACAGTTGATTCAAAAGAAACGCAATCATCATCACGCGTGAGGAGACCGTCTCGTTCATGTAATACTGCCTCGTAGGTCTGAGGAGAGCATGTCCTCTTGACTCTGCAGAACAGCTCTTTGAGCAAAGGTGAAAATGACGATTGAACAAATGACTCCATGGTTAAAATGTCACAAGGTTATAACCAAAATGATGGAGAATATATATATATATATATGCACAGTACTACGATACATCCGGTATTTGAGGGATTTTTCCATTACATACGACCTCGACGTTGATCATAATTTCGACAATGTAGCTTATCAAGAAATTGAGGATATCAGTAAGTCATACATATCGCTGATTCATTCATTTCATACACTTCTGCAACTGATATATGTCACCGAGTCGTGTATTTCAGCAAGTTATATATCTCACTAGATTGTAGATCGTGCATTTCAGCAAATTGGACACATCACTGAGTCGTACAGTTACACAAGTTCAGTGCCCCTCGTTTGCACCACCTCAAAAGATCTACATAGGCTTTAATGTTAAGAGGTTAACAAGTATTCAACTTTAGTCCATCTCCGATAGTATCAGTTCTACAAATACTATCACAATCCTCTATATTGATTTTGAAATCGCTAGTTTTGATCAATTCAAAATAATTGTGTAGCGAAACATCAAGAAACTTGATGTCGATCGAATCCACGGTTGTTGATTTATGGAAAGTGAAGTTCAAGGTAGTAATTGAGGTAGGTTTAGATTTTAGATAGTCTAGAAGAGGGGTGGTCCGAAAGTGTGGGACTTAGCTGATGAGATTATCACCAGATCAAATATTTAAGCAAATTATCGAATCTTGCATTTCAATAAGCTATACATATGCAATCCAGCAGGTTATGTATATCACTAGATCTTGTATTTCGGTCCTTCAATGCATATCACTGAGTCGTGTATTTCAACATGTAACATACATCATTTAGTCTAAAAGACTTTACAGAAATGATCTACAAGAAGCTAGTGAACAAAGTGAAATCGCTTATTAACCGCTGCTACATACAGATAGTTTTATCACATGGCATCAGAATACGAAAATGCAAACCTCCATGCCCTTAAACGTTCCAAAACTATTTATATTACAATCGCCAGACAGGTAAATTAGATTTTAGCCAAAGGCGTTACAAGATCATCTCTCATTCTTGTTCTATACACAGGTGTTACCATGGATTATTTTCATTCCATTTTAGAAAATATTCCGGTCCTTAATCTCTTCATAAAGTTCACCATTGTCTTAACAATCTACTATAACCTAGTAGCTGTTTATCGAATATGGTTTCATCCTTTGGCGAAATTCCCTGGACCCCGTATTTGTGCAATCACATTTTTATACGAGATTGCGTGGGATTACTTCTATGAGGGCACCTATGTGTACAAGATTGAGGAGTTACATGATCGCTATGGTGAGAACACTAACTATGATGGTTTTTGAAAGATCGATTACGCTAATTCTTCAAATCAGGCCCTGTCGTCAGAGTTAACCCCGCTGAATTATCTATTAGAGACCCGGAGTATTATAGAACAGTATATGTTGCTAGCAACACAAGGTCCACTTCCGCCTATCCTGCATTCGCTGCAGGTATGGGTATTCAAGGTATTCCTTCTTATCTATTTAAAGATGATCCGACGGCCTGACTTTCCGCAGGCTCTCATCCTGTTACGATAGATCATCAACTTCACCGCCAGCGGCGCAAACCATTGGAGCCCTTCTTCACGAGCTCAGGAGTCAAGAAGATCTATCCACTACTGATGGAATTAGTCCAGAGTCTCATATCTCAGCTCAGAGAGAACCTCGAGAAAGATACCATAGTCCGGCTTGATCACGCACTCTTTGCTTTTGCTGGAGAAGTTATGTGCAAAGTTTGTTTTGAGAACCAAAATTCCACGTTTCTCTCACAGCCTGATTTCTATCCCCAGTGGTGAGCTTGTTCCACATAACAGCCCTCATGGGATCCTAATTATCACAACAGGTTTACTTTACTCCATACGATAACTCGTTCTTCGCCGATCATTGTGAACTTCCCATGGATCTTCAGGTGTGCATTGTCAACAGAGTAGCCTTTATTTTCCGTGTGCTGATATTCATTTATGTAGAATTGTGGAGCTAATTCCTGCATCACTGATCACCAGGCTAAGCCTCTCAGGCGAAATGCTGATGAACTGGAGAACTGTAAGCGCAACACAATATTTCGAAATACTTTCGAGTAGGATGAAAGATTGTGCTAAGATGGCTTTTAGATGTCTATCGAATACATAAATAGAGTGAAGCAGAGAGTGACTTTAGAAAAGCCTAACGATTCCGGTGGCAAAAGTCCACCCTCTACATTATTCTATGACTTATTGACAAGTGATCTGCCAGCCTCTGAGCTTACAACTGAACGGCTTGGAGCGGAGGCACAAGTTCTTTTGATGGCTGGTACCATGTCTGTTGCCAGATCTATGGGTCATCTGGTGGTCCATATTCTCCTGAACGTGGATGTTAGACAGCGTCTCACAGAAGAGCTAAGTACCATCGACCCAGAAGGCTCGCAAAACATTCCATCATACCAAACCCTTCAGCAGCTTCCATACTTGCAGGCGTGTATCAAGGAGGGTTTACGGTCAGTTATTCTACGCATCAGATGATAAGCTAGTGAAACTAAACATAGGTAGAATGAGCATTGCTTCAATGCACAGATTACCTCGCTGTTCACCTGATGTTGCACTTCAATATCATGAATGGATTATACCTCCTGGAGTAAGCTTGAAGCAGTGCACCAAGTGTACCACCATGAAACTGATGCAAAATTAGACACCTGTAGGTATGTCCACGTATTTGATGCATTACGACCCGGATGTATATTCAGAACCAAAAGTTTTCAAGCCTGAAAGATGGCTTGGTGAAATAAATTCGAAGATGCTCAGGAACTATGTTCCATTTGCCAAAGGATCTCGTGACTGCTTAGGTACAGAGTAAGGGCACTTCCCAATACCAGAATCATCAGAAGGCTGACTCACATGCATAGGCTAGCTTATGCCGAGATCTCAATGGTTCTTGCAGCTATTTTCGGTCCGCTCGGACCAAAAATTAGTCTGTATGAGACCGACAGCTCTGATGTTGACCCCTATCATGCATTTGTGGGGTCGCTCCCCAAGCTGAGCAGTAAAGGTATTCGGGTAACAATGGGATAACAGTACTGGAAAATGCAAGTCTGTAAGCAAAGTTGGCCGACTTGGAAAACACCAGAGTCTTGCATTTTAAGATAGTAATTGGTTTGTTACAGAGCTACTACCATATGATCAGTGGACCTGAGGCTCAATGACCAGCGGGTCATAGTGGAACCCCCGCGGAAGTATCACATAGTCAGAAGAAAGCAAAAGTCTATATGCGCAAGATGTGTTTCCTTGGTACATGAAGCTTCGTATTCAACTCAATGGGTTGTTCCTACCTAGCAAATTCAGTTTCTCACTTGATTGTCTTTTAACCTAAATCAGTGTCCAATATCGCTTCTGTGTGATACCAAGTCAGGTAGAATACAATACTTGGGTATTAGGATTGCTTCAAGTACTAGATTGAATTTGAAACTGCCACAGTGCCAGGAGAGAGCTGTCTAACACTTTACGAATAGGTAACTCGGAGCATTTCGAAAACAAACAAATGTAGGATGTTCCGGCAACTTAGCCTCCAAGGGCGACTACTGTGTCATTGGTTTCAGCAGCTATTTCGGTTCCAGTATTAAGACGAACAGGTTATGTTGTGCCTCTAATATCACATGGAAGTGTTACTGAGAAGTGGGTTGTGTTAATAAACAAAGAAGAGGAGATTAAAATCGTAGGCAGTATTAACTAATTGATAGAATTCCCATCTGCATATTTGCATGTTTATATACCGGCATTCGGAATCCGTAATCGGAAGTATAGCGTATTAGGAAATCATCAGGTACGTAGGTTGGAGATTATCTGAAGTGAAAACATGCTCACCGGCTACTTTGATACATTCTGCAGATAGATATGCTAAACACTCCAGGTGGCGGAATAGTATAGTTCTGGAGATCGGTAAATGGTTACTGATGGTGATACTAGGATCTTTTTATTTGCGTTTGTATTTGTGTCTTTCTTGGTTTGGATTTGACTTTGGCTTTAGGCTGGTGAGTTGGGATTGTAATTGGGGGCAAGATGTCGAGATTGGATGAACCTTTCGTTGAGGTAAAGTGAGGAGAGAGGAGAGAAGCGAAGTGAAGAGGTATATATTTGAGAAATCTGCCGTATGCGGATTTGATGCTAGGTATTCGTCTTGATGTGGTAATATTTGATATTTGATGCTCGATATTTGATGTTGGACATTTGATGTTCTGTTTTATATTGATGGAATAGATAGTGGTCCGATTATGGATGGTCTGAGAGATTAGCTAGGTAGATAGATATACGTTCGTCTTCTTCAAAAACTAGACTTCAATAATCATCAATCACTTACCAACCTCCATATCTGGTGATCTGGAGCTTGATGTATTATAATAGTAATATCTATATTTGTCAGATTTCAACATGATCTATTCAGTCTTCTCTTGTAAAAATTCTTCCCTTAAAAGTTGTATGTTCATTCTCTTATTTTCACAATACCTCGTAGCTGAATTATCACGTGCATGTGTACCTATCCTAGTCCACATGCCTCGGCTACCGATCCAGAGTACAGAGTAGGATCTGCAATTTGTCCTACTGCAGGCTTGTGGATATTTAGGTTAATAACTCGAGTAATAACGGCAAAGGATCCCGAACCTAGTCGGCTGATCCGTCTATCCATCCATTGAAATCTGGAGACCCCAAATCCCCAAAATCCCATCACTTTGATAATTTGACATTTGTAGGTGCTCGCGGAGAATCAACCCTGGAAAAAGAAATCAAATGTGTATATCAAAGTTCAAAGCCTCAGCAACTGATCTAACTGTTGGGAGGCAAAATTGCAAATGCGGCGAAGACGGGTATTTTTTTTATCTAATACGAAGTCGTCGAAGGAGCTTGTGATGAAAAATCTTAACCATGTTCGGTTTCCCAAGCTCCAAGTACAGACTATCGACACGCACTAAATCCCGAGAATATGGTTTCCTCAATTTGAAAAACTTTCTTGGGACGGAGGATATACTG